TTTGACAGCTGTCTTGGACAATCTGTCATCTTATTCAGCCATACATATATGTGTAGGAGTAAGCTGTCTTCCATAGAGACTTTTATAATATGCACACTCCTATAACAAGCAACATGCACAGTCTTTCATATTCATCCAAAACAAGGCGAGAGAACAGCCTAGTGTTTAAGAAGACAGGCTGTGGAAACACACTGCCTGGGTTCCTATCTAAGCTCTAACACTTACTGTCCATACGACCTTAAACAAGTTCTGTAACTTCTGTATCTTTTGGTTTCCTAATGTGTAAAAGAGGAATGACAGTACCTACCTCAGAGGACACTTGTGAGAATTAAATTAGTGCACATAAACTACTTAGTACCTCACACACAGAAGATACTCCATAAATGTCAGTCATTATCATTTTAGGTTAGATAATACTTTATCTGTGGAAAGATCTATTAAAATTTATAATATATTTTAAAGAACATTCAAAATTGTTTCAGAAAAGTGAAAAGCAGAACAGCAATATTTTTAGACTTATGCTTCAGCCTCTAGTTATTCTCCAAAACACTAAAACAGTACTTAGAGGTAACGTGTTCCCGAAGGTTTATAGGTTTTAGTTCTCATTGCACCAAAAATACACGTATATACACCTACAGGTAACTTCAGCAGCTTCATTGTTATTGGCAGAGAATACATCCTCAATAATTATTGTGAGAATAAATGAACAAGCTGCTTTACTTGTTATATTAGACAGTTTTGGTACGAGAGATCTTCAAGGGTAGAATTTTCTTTGCTGAAATGTACACAGGTTCAGATATCTCTGACCCTCTTCAGTGTCCTCCAAGTATGGCCACTATAACGCACAATGATCTCCAGTGGGGATGCTTTGCTGTTCTTTATATGACCTGACCTAATTAATTTCAAAATGAAAGAAAACACAATACTGTAAAGTACCTGCATAACTTAAATGACTGATAAACTGAATAATCTGAACTTCAAGGAGGTCCAAACATAAAGCGTTATATTTTTCTCAATTCCTTGACCTTAGACAAAAACCCTTAAAAATACCTGGAACAAATCCCAGAATTTTCAGGTCACTTTCAGCTATTAAAAGTTACTCAGTTTAAAATGCCAATCATATACATGAATTAGGACCTTCCCCAGGAAATCTCCTGGCTCCAGAGTCCTGGAAAATGCGGAGGGGGTCTTTACGATGCCAAAGGTGGGAGAAGAGGCCAATCCAAGTATCTCTGCCTGCTGCCAATTTCTTTCAATTTTTTTTTTTGTTTGCCTGTTTAGGCGGGTGGGTACAGGGAATAGTAGTAAATATAGGCCCAAAATACTTCTTGCCTCTCACCATGGAGAAGACATTTCTTGTAAGCAATGACCCTCATGTTTGGAAAAACTGCTCATTCACTCCTCTTACTCCAGTCCACAGGAAAGGAGTTTGGGTTAAGGTGAGTAGTTAGTTTTGAGCTGGTTCCTGGCCCTTCTTTCACAGGCCTGAGGCCTCTCATTTAGAGAACAGAAGACAGAATCAGGGAGGTACAACCAACTGCCCATGCTTATGTTTTTCTTTATTTTCTTTGTTTCTGCTAACTCTACATAAGACTTAATGGCATTCTCAGGTAATGTCATGGGCAGGGGTGAAATTCAAAATATTTAACAGGCAGGAGTACCATCTAATCAGACGGGACGTGTCCTCCAAGTGCTGAAGGGGCACTCAGGCAGTTGGGATACAGGTGTCTTCTTGACAGCATAAAGTATCTTGGTGTTTTAGTATAAAGACAGTAAACCAGTTGAGAGTCCCTCCTGCTTGCAGGAGCACCTCAGAGGGTCCTGTGCAAAGGCATCTCTACCATGTTCTCCCCTGATGTGAGAGAATGTCCCAGGCCTACCTTATGCAATCCCTCTCTGTTACTGTCCAATAGCCTCCTGCTTGATCACATGGATCTATTTTCTATTTATCTACTTGACTGTTGGGAAACTCACACATCTTTATAATGCCCAACTAAGGCATGTAGCAGGCCATTCTGAGGCTCTCCATGCTGCTAACTTCCTTCAGTTTTCTTTTTGCCTGGTCAGACAGGTGAAGGATCCAGCAATAAATTGATGTCTAGAATATTTTTGCTCCTCGCCAAAGAAGATACCTCTCGCGTGTACCTTCCTCAATCTTTAACAATGGTTCTCTTGGAGCTGCCTTCACGTCCCTTGACATGGGACATAGATAAAGAAAGAGAAGTACTTCTTTCCTTTCCTCTCTGTGACACAGAGAAAAGGAAAAATATTCCAGATGTGTGGATAGCCTATAATAACCCTCCACCAAAGGATGACTTGAAGGTTGGAGTGGGGTAAGAGGAGGAACCGCTGGAGTGGTAGATAGGATAATAGTTGGATTAGGCTCTCTCTTTAGAAATCCCGAGATGGGTGTGACCCAAACTGGAAGTAGTTTCTTGGTGGCTTTCCTTTTACAATGTGTGAATTTAAGGTTGTGTCTTCAAATTGCAGACACCATCACCAATTCTAGGCAATAGGAAAAATAATCAATATCCTCTTACATTTATCTTAAAATACAGCAGAAATAATTGTTATATTTTGTAAAAGAAAAATGAATATCAAATACACATGGAAAAAAATTAAGGAAGCATAAATCTACTGGTAATTATTTGAAGATGCTAGTTAATCCACTGTGCATATATTTATGTTTAATTAGAAACTGGAAGGCTTTAGAATGTTATTCTAAAATATACCATACTAGTATTAAGACATTACACTGATTCAGTGCAAATAACAATACAAGAAAATTTTCTTGTTAAATTATTTTTTTAGGGACTCTGTTTTATCAAAAGTATATATTTTTACTCAAATGTCATAAGAAACTCAGTCTTAGTATAAGCTGATTTGCTGTAATTGGAATAGGCTTATTTCAGTCATTTTACCCCGTTAAATTATGATACCAACATTCAAACATCTGTTAAACCATAGCATCTGTTTCATATTTGGGATGCATCCCTACAAATTGGAAGAGTGTTCTTTTTAATGAGCTCTGATTTAATAAGAAATCCTTTTTTTTATGACTGCTATGCCAAGGAAAGAAAGAAGATGAATTCACTTCTTTACCACACCCCATGCAGCAAAGTACCCCAAAGGTTCATGAATTTCTAACAACAACAAAGAAAATGGTTTAAAGATAAATATCATATATTGAAAGTTGGTTTTAAATTTTAGTATTAATATTTAAGAAATCATATGTATTTTCATATATATGTATGCCCACATACATACACATGCAATTATACAACCAGCACAAGCAGAGGGCCATCCACCCATATTATTCAAGAAAAATAACCACTTCATTCAAATAAACTCTTTTGACAATCTACGCAGTCTTAGAGTTACTAGACAAATGCATGACCTCCCAGTCTCGCTGAGTTTGTTTACAACTCTAACTCCAAAGACACTCTCTCTCGTCAGATCTTCACGGTTTCAGTTATATCTGAAGCAGTACTTTGCACTGACTCATGCAGTTCTTTTTAGAACTATTCCTTGCTGTCTTCATTAGTTTTCCTTAGAGTTTTCCAGTCCCTTGTAGCCCTCTATTTTGGACTGAATTTGTCTAATACAAGAAGCATGTTATTGTATTGTCAGACAAAAATGGGTAAGTTTGTTCTATTGCTTATTAATTTTACTTTTTAAGGCCTTTGTATTTTTAAATTTCTAATTTGGACCTGGAAATCTTTGAAAGTCTAATTTACAGACATCAAATATTTTAAATTCACAAGTGTTTATAATACAAATTACCATAAAATTAAGAAATTTTGCTGGGCACAGTGGCTCACACTTGTAATCCCAGCACTTTGGGAGGCTGAGGCAGGCGAATCACTAGGTCAGGAGTTCCAGACCAGCCTGGCCAACATGGTGAAACCCCATCTCTACTAAAAACACAAAAACTAGCTCGGCACGGTGGCGGGCGCCTGTAATCCCAGCTACTCGGGAGGTTGAGGCAGGAGAATTGCTTGAACCTGGGAGGCAAAGGCTGCAGTGAGCCGAGCCTGCAACACTGCACTCCAGGCTGGGTGACAGAGCTAGACTCCGTCTCAAAAAAAAAAAAAAAAAAAAAAAAAAAATTAGAAATTTTAGAACTTGATTGGTCATCCCACTAAGTTAAATAAAACTACAAAAAATTTATAAAAGAATCTTATCGCCTACAAGAACTCAAAAAACCTCACTGAAAGGAAACCAGAAAAATGAGAGGAAAAAAAAAGGTAAGACATTTTTGGTCATCCACTTTCTACCTCCTAATTTATCTTACCAACAGAGAAAACTGTAACTAGAATGTCCTGCTGCTGAAAACATTTCTTCTGCATGTTCCCTTGAGGTAGGGTAGTCACAGCTTGGCAGAGAAAGCCATTGCCTTGCCCACCCTAGCAACATGTGCTTCCAGCGTCTTTTTCCCCAATCCATCCACCACCAATAAGAGCTCTGTTCCTCACCAGCTTTATGAAAGCACGTTTTCTACTTTGCCAATGGAACAGTAGCATTTTACACACATGTCACATCAAATGTACAACTGGTTCATCTTATAACATCAGATTTTAGAACATGTCATATGAATTCTTCACCAGGAAAACAAAAATTAAAACATCAACCATCTGATTTAGAAGTAGTGCATTCTGGAGATTTATAGATGGTTTATGGGAATGAGAAAACGGAAAATAACCACAGCAATTCTTCTGTCTTCAGGTTGGACTTACTTAGCCAATCTAAGTGACCTTATTTTAAAATACTACCTGTGAAAAATTTTTTGCAACATCTCTGGATAACCTTTTCCAATGCTTAATGACTCTTAGTAGCAAAATTCAGTTTTTCCAAATCAAAGGTCAACCCTCTCCTTGTTGAAAATTAGATGTAACACATTTTATGGTCACAGGAGAGATGGTGCAGTTTAGGAAACACTGTTAATATTTTGTGATTTCCACCTCTGCAGATCTTATCTCAATAGATTCTTAGGAACTTGCCTCTGCCAGTTGAAAGAGTGCAGACTTTCCACAGCGTTTTACAGGCTCAGCACCACCCAACTGTGAAGTGTTTGAAGAAATCTGTATTAAAGACAATTCACACAGAGAATATTAGTTGTGATATCAGAATCTTTGCTTCTCATTCATACACATTCAGGAATTTTTCTTAGTTTACAAGAGTATCACTGCTCCCATGTACCAAATAACAAAACATGTCACACTTGGGATGATCATTTTGAGAACCATTTTTAGTAAAAGACCTCAAAAATATTAACAAAAGCAGGTATGGCTGTTCAACAATAAGAATATTAAATTGCATATTCTAGGCTTTAGATTTAACTCTATAACCTTAAAGTGAGATATGCATTTCAATTTCTATAACAACTGGTCAAATATAAAAGAGATTTAAGAGTTATTTTGCATTTACCAAACAATTATTTAATTTTTTTGAGGAATATATTTGGGATCTCTGTGGCAAGACAGCATCAAGTCAGTCAACACATTTTTTTTAGAATCCAATATATATGTGCAAGGCCATATGACAGCAGCTTAGGAGGCTAAGAGGTTTATATAAAACACTGACCCTGGCTTTGAGAGTATGCTCTAATGTACATGCAAAGACTGATCATCAAGACCGCAAGTCTGAGCTATACAGTTAACCGCCTATGCTGTGTTGCAGTACATAATATAGGTACAATGTTAACATTGACTGAGTTCTCTTCTGCAAATCTGGCTAAATAGTGGCTGGCATTGAAAAAAATAAACAGCACTGCCTTTTCTCTTTTTTTTTTTTTTAAATAAAAACTTCATTTTCAATTCTTAAAGACATTTGCAAAGCATCTTCACCTGGAGAAGTTCTGTCATTGTTAGATAGTTTGGTCTAAGCTTTTCACATTCTTTATGATTCTGAATTCTTTCTCAGCTTAAAACAGAGCTATTTCCCAATTCAATTTAGGAGGTAGTCCTGCCTGTGACTATATCCTTAAAGGCAACCACAGATCCCACAGGTTGTTAGTTCCAGGAGAGGCTGGGTGCTTAGTGCTAGAGGAACTTTTCCCTGGAATACCTGCCGAAGAAGAGGCCTTGGCAGAGGCATGTATTTAATAATGGCCTACCTCGACCATTAAAAAGGACCTAGCTTAAGGAAGTTACAAGGACTCTTTCCTCCTAGGTGCTATCAGTCTTAACAGAGTGCTTTTCTATTTATCTCTATCATTTACTTTTTTTTAGAAGATAAATTTATGGGGCTCAATCTTACTGAAGTTTGGAATATTTTTCTCTTGCTGAATTTTTACTGATAAATGCTACTACTACCTTTTCTAGACAGGTTGAATTCACTTACTCACCTTATCAGGGGACTAAGAGAAAACAAACACATTAATATCACTGACTCTCAGTGCTTCAGGGAATGAGGCACTGAACATAAATGCCAGAGCCTTGAATCAACGTTGTGTAATAGAAAGAAGACGGTCTTTGTGCCAGACAGGCATGCTTTCATTACTTGCTGCTGTGTGGGCTTAAGCAAATAAGGTTTTGAGTCTCATTTACCTCACCTTTAAAATACAAATAGTAATATCTGCCTGGAATTGTGCTGTGAAGATTAGGTTTGATGCTAGTGTAGGGCAGTGCTAAGGAGATATTATGCTCTCAATAAATGGCCCAATTATTACTAATGATTTATCTTTAACACCTTTTTAGTACAATTTCATACAATTCCAAAAACTAGGTACACACTGAAATTGAACAGAATTAAAAATGGCAATGTTTGCGGATATTTATTAAATTTAGTAATTTGGAGAGCATTAAATTTGTCGCATAATCCCATGACATGCTCAAGAATTACTGAAGGCCCAGAAGCAGGGTAGCACTGCACTTCATACCCCATGCCGTTTTTCTGGCTTTTCCCACTGGCTCCCTCTGCTGCTGCATTTGTCACTGCAGGTTTTCTTTTTCTCTGTGTGTCACTCCCACATATCCTGTGCCTGATGCAGTGCATCGCACACTGAGAGGCTCATGAATGACTGACTGCATGGATGCATTACCTGCCCTTAGAGTTCAAGTACAACTGTCAGAGAGGAGGCTTGAGAATAGTCCTCTTATGTTTAGTAAGAACAGTTTTCCTCATTGACTCTGGGAGGATTGTTACCTGTTTACAGGTACAGGGCAGCAGTTTAAATGCTCAAGGTTGCTGGAAGCCTGATTCCCAAAAAGGCATGTGTGGGGGGAGGTTCAACATATTTTCATAGTCCAACATTTCCAGAATCTCCTAACAATAACATTTTTATGACATTACTTAGTGTGAGATATGATTTCTAAAAGTTAAATCAAAAACTTCTTAATTTGAGGGAAGGAAGGGTAGAAAACTGGAAATACGCTAATTTCTATGGCGGGGGTCCTTATCTCAATTTCTTTGCAGCATTTGACAGTGCTAGTCTTTCTTTAGAAAAGCTCTTTCCTGCCTTCCATTACTGCAGGGTCCTTGCTTTCCTCCTATGTCTCAGGCCACTCCTCGTGGTTTTTTGCTGGCTTTTCTTTCTATAATGATCCCTTCAACATTTTTCCTCAGTGTTTTGTCTTAGAGCCCTCTCTCAGTAATCTCATCTATGCTGATGCCTTCAATTTCAAGCGTAGCTGGTACAGTAATGACTTGTTATATCACTGTTCATTCCTGCCGATGCTCTTCTACCTAGGAGACAAATACATCCTTTCAGATAGGAACAATATAGTTAACATCTGTTTTCCAATGACTGGTCAGCTATGGAGGGAAGCGTGTGTTTGCTATGTTAGTAGGTAGAGGGCACTAGTGCGCCATAGTGCATAGCAATTTCATGGGTATGCTTTTTATTTTTCTCAAATTGGATGGGGCTTGCCAGTAAGTTAGTTCCACTGTAGTCTCTCTTCTGACTATTATGTAATGTTCGGATAAACAGTATTCATCCATAAAGGCTAGCAAGAGGGTGGGTGTAACAGTATATGAGGTACAGCTAAAGTGCTAAGAAAAATGATCACCCTGGATGTTAAATTGCTAATTTTATGGCTGCCTGAGGTGGGACAGCAAACAGGTGGTAAAGACCAGAATCAAATTAGGTAACGATGGAAGTGTTTTGCAATTATAAAGGTATTACAAATATTGTAGCTTGGGAGAAAATGACTGATAATTGTTGAATGAATAAATGAGTCAATGAAGAAGTAATTTCTTCCTTACCTTACCCTCCTTATCTAAAAAGAAAAATTAGTGTTTCCAATAAAATACATAATACATCTACCTAATTAGTTACAGTGTAAGTATATGGTGTTTTTAATAGAAAGTAATATTACGTAACACACTGAGCATTCCCTCATGAAAATAAATGCATTAAATTTGCATCTATTGCTTATATCCAATTGTGACAAAATTTTAATTTTGGTGAAATTATAAAAGCAAAGTAAATATCTTCTAAGGAAAGTTTTAATGTCCAAATCTACCTAAATCATCCAGATTAGCTGTGTCTTCAAGGTAAATGTAATTTTTCAATGCAAAGATATACTCTATCAGAGAATATGGGAATTGGTCATGGCTCTTAGGCCTGTTAAATAATTAAAGACAACAGTTCCCTTCCAACATTATATTTAGTCTTTAGTCTTTGGTAAACCAGGTCTAGAAAGTGACTATGTGTCACTCTACCTGTAAACAACAGAGGATGGAGACAGCAAAGTCATTCTGACCAACTTAATGGATCAGAACCTGGAAACACAGAGTAGATGGCACTTTGGATGGGCCACGCTGAATCTGGATGAAACATGAGTGTCACCTTGGAATGGGAGACAGGCTGCAATTGGGGTGGGGTGTGAGGAACAGTCCCTGCACTCTATGTTTCTTTCTAAATCCTCATTTTTCTCTCCTTAAATGTAAACATTTATGAGGCATCTGCAAACAAAATGTGCTTTATTCAGTTTTATGGTTCCATTTAGATTCACTTCCATGAGCTTTTCAATGACTGGATTTGGTTAAGAAGGAAACTTATCTTTCTCAGCTTGCAAGGAAGAGATCCAGGACTCAATGAAAAAAAAAAAAAGCCAAACATTTTTGACTTAAAGAAATTACTAGGGTATTAAAAGTGTGTTTCTCAGATAAATATTTTACATGATAAATAACCCATTTCCAAGAGAAAATCTAGTTAACTTCTTCCCAGTGTTATAAAAGGTTGTAAATACAACAAATAGTTTCTGAGAATTTTGTATGCCTGATCTTAAAATGACATTACAAAGCTAAATACTTTTAAAGGGTAAATTGTTTCCCAGATTATATAAACACCCACTTCTCTTAAAGTGTGCATAATGGAACCAGGAATCCCTCTGAAAAGAGACAGGGGTATAAAGTGCTCCACTGGGTAATTTTCTATTTTACACCAATCCCTTCCTCTCTTGACCCTTCCACCGTGAGGTCCCAGAGATATTAACATGTACCTTAACAATAATGATTTAATAATTTGGGTTTTTTTAAAAAAACACATAGCTATAGAGCAGTGGTCTCAAACTGTGGTTGCAAACTGTGGAATGCAAATTCTCAGGTCCAGCACCAGACCTAATCAGTCGGAAACTTTGGTGGTGGGGCCCAGCAATCTGTGTGTAAACAGCATTCCAAGTGACTCTGATGTACTGTAAAAGTTGAGAACCTTTTCTATCGACTAATTAAAACAAGAATTTCAAGAGTCTTTGGGTTTTCTCAAAGGTGATGTTGTTTTATGAAATAATTCTAACAGCTTTAGGAATACGACAGTGAGTAATTATAGCCTATTCTATTTATATTGCATACGTAAGGTCATAACAGATTTTAGCAGATCTTTTTATTAGTTCATCTAGTTGGCTCTTATTTAGCCTTAAATAAAATCAGTCCAATATTGGTCTAACAATGTGGTCAGATTACAAGATGTTAAAGATGGAAAGTTAGGGTTCTGTTGGGTCAGAGGAGGAAATTGAGGAGAGAAGTTACGTATCCTTTGAGAACCATGAACTCCTCTTGGATAAACACATATAACATTTACAGTTAAACAGCCAAGGATACAAAAATTTAATTTGCTGAGGAACTAGGGCTATTATCAATGGTTGCAAAATATAAGGAGGAAAAGTTATATACTTGTGGGGACTACATCTCATTCTAGGGCAAAACAGAAATTACATATTTTTACACTATCCATTATATTTTGGTCTACACTTCATGACTAAAAACCCCAAGAGTCCTCAGGAGATAAGTGTGTTGAGCAGAGGCGCAACCTCTAGAAATGCTACCCTGGCATGACTCTCTCCTCTCAGGTAAGAAGTTTTTTTCTTCTCTAGAAAAAAACTCAGCATAATTAAGAGGCAAGTAGCAAATCTCATGCATTCAAGAATGAATGTACTGAGCAGCAAGGACAAATTAGTTTATGAAAGGCATGGGATCTCATCCTGCAGAAGCACAGGATGGTGGCTATTACACCACCAAACTGGTTCCTTAGAGCTGTCTGCAGGGCTTCAGGAGCTCTGAATGAATCTGATGATGGTGTTGATAAAATAATCATCACGGCCAGGTGCGGTGACTCATATCTGCAATCCCTGCACTTTGGGAGGCCCAGGCAGGTGGATCACCTGAGGTCATGAGTTCATGACCAGCCTGGCCAACATGGTGAAACCCGTCTCTACTAAAAATACAAAAATTATCCAGGTGTGGTGGTGAAAACCTGTAATCCCAGCTGCTTGGGAGGCTGAGGCAGGAGACTCACTTGAACCTGGGAGCTGGAGTTTGCAGTGAGCCCAGATCGTGCCACTGCACTCCAGTCTGGGTGACAAGAGAAAAACTCTGTCTCAAAACAAAAACAAAACAAAACAAAACAAAACAAAACAAAAACATACGCTGAGCAGTGATGACTGTTAGAACCAGCATCAGCTGAGATACTCCATACTGGTATTTTAAATTAAGCTGAATACTCTTGGTAGTCAGTGGATATGTAAACATCAGATGTGTCAAAGATGAGCCAATACCATTCTAATATTCATGCTATGGAGTATCGAATTTAATCAACAGAATACGTGGCAAATCAATTCTGTTTTGAAAAAAATGCTTCTGAAAAGCTGGTTAGAACTGGCTCAGATATCAACATTAAAAATAAATTTAGTCAATATGCCAACATTTCTTTTTAACGCTGAAGGATTATTAGCATCAAACAAATGGGCATCAGCAACTGGAGGAAAGCAAGAAAGTATTATTAACAAAACTGTTTCCCCTAGACAGTGAAAGTCACAGCTTGGTTATTGTAATGGGAAACCGTAATAAAATCTTAATTTATTCAGATTAATTAAGCAAATTATTCTTTATGAAATAATGTTATATATTTTCGTTACCAGTCTTATACACCAACCCTCAGCAGCTAAGCAAATACTATGGCAGGGAAGCCTAATACAGAAGCAGGCCAACCAATGGCATAAAGTCACAGTAGTTGACACAAGTTGTCCCAAGAGGAAATGACACTTTTTTTTTTTTTAATTTAAGAGTCCAAAGTAATATTTTCTCATTTTCAAAGTAAGATGCTAGGTTTTCTTCTGCCAAAAGGATATCATTTTACATTTCATTTATGCAATACTCTTTATTCAAATGAATCAAAGTGATTCAATTGTCATTTTCTCTCAACCCTATAAAAAATTGCTTGGTTTATGATATGCATTTTTCTGTTGGGATAAAAAGAGAAAAAAGAAAAGACCTAAAGCAGATAGCATCTTATTTTCATAAACTATATACATTTTATTATTTTTCATATAGTGCCCATTAGAAATGAGCATATGGTTGAGGGCAGGGCTTTTGTGGCAAAATTAAGAATACCAGATTTGTCTCTGCAGCATACCAACCAAAAAAAAAATTGCTCTCTGGTATGTGCTCTCTTTGGCTGACAAACCAAAGAAATCTGAGATCTTACAAAAGCTGACCTGATCTAAGCCTGGGATTAAATACTAATAAAAATACTGGCTGAAGCTATAACACACTTAAAGCTAATTTAACCTGATTTAACAGGTCGTATTCACCACTGCATTCACTGTGAAAGAGTTATTCATGAATTATAGCATCTAATTTCACTATTGGAAAAATTTAATAAATCGAAACCCTCTGGCCTTCGTGTTGACAGCAGTTTTTCCAAGCTTTTAAAATAAATTAAAAACAAGGTAGAATGAAATAAACACATTACTGGTAAGTGCCTATTCTGAATGAGCTCTTTAATGAATGCTTATAAAATGGGTGTAAAATCTGAAGCTGATTTGACTATGATTACACCAGAGGTAGCAAAAAAAGCAATATATATTCTGTTATGTGTATTATGTTAATAATGACAACAGGCATGCCTGAAGTTCACTATACATTACTAAAACTCCATTCCAGTATTCCTGAGCTCAACAAGTTTTCTTAGCCCAATAAGCATTTTAAAAAGGCCATACCTCTGCAAACTGAAACAAGGCGGATGTTTGACATTGCTTTGTAGGAGCATCAGGGTGGGACGTACTTGAAGATATCTGAAAGGAAACAAGTAGTTTTTAATGCACAATGACATTTTTCCATATGAGATCGTAAGATTCTGCCATATATTTTCAACTATAGACACTGATAAAGATTTTAAAATGAGTCATTACCCTCAACCCCTTTAGAAGAGCAGTATAAATGATAAGGGAGGACAAAGGCCATGTTTCTAAAAACAGATGATTATAAAGAACAAAGACTGAGTATGGCTCATTTGCCCTGTCTTTTGTAAGGGTACCAGGTATATATCAAACAGCAGTTAAGGAGACCTGTTGAAAGAAATTTCCTTACTTAAAAAAATGAAAAAAATGTATATTATTAAAAGCTGAAAGGTGCAAGTAAAGCCACTCACTCACTCTCTTCCAACACCACTCCTTCCAAGCAAGCTGTTCTCTAGTTAGAGGCAGCTGTGAAGCAGTGTCGGCAAAGCATATGGATGTGGGTCAGGGTATCTGGGATTGAATCTGCTCTGCTGCTTATCCACAACATGACCTTGGGCAGCTCAGCTAAACTTTCTGACTTATTTTTCCCAACTGTAAATTGATGATGATGACAATAATTCGCATTTTAGAGGATTGTGGTGAAAAAAAAAAAACAACCCATAAAATATGGCATGGCATCAGAACTCAATATATTGTTTAGTAAATATGAAAAGCATTTTCTTCTTTTACAGCACCTGTATCCTCCCACCCAACACAAACACACACACATTAGTGTCTGACAATTAACAGAAGTCTGCCACCCTACAACTAATTCAACTAAGGGACCTTCTGTTTCCAGTTGGTAATTATGGTAGCTTCCTTCAACTTCGCTCAGAGGAACATGAGGAAATACTTTTCAAGGACATTTTAAGAGCAAGGTCAGTTAGTAATTTTGGTTCCAAAGTGAAAAAAGCTTTTATCCAGCTACAAAACAGGGTAAAAGTGGGTCACAGAGAAGAAAGCCTAGGCCTTATAACTTCAGCCATTCCCAATCCCACAAGTCTTTTCCTTCAAGTAACTGTGTTCACCAACAACTCCATCAAAAGGTACTTACTAAGCAATAAATCCACCTTAATCATAACCCTTTAACCACAAAAACTGCTTTTTTCATTTTAGTTAAACTGGTTAGAAAAACAATGGGGCCATGTAGCCATACAGTATGAAAGTGACGTTTAGGAATGAGAAAGAATCAGGAAGCTGGGCACAGTGTGGCTCACATCTGTATACCCAGTGCCTTGGGAGGCTGAGGTAGGAAGATCACTTGAGCCCAGGAGTCCAAGACCAGCCTGAGCAACACAGCAAGACCCCGTCTCAAAACTACAAAAAAAAAAAAAAAAAAAAATTAGCAGAGAGACTGACTGAGTAATGAACTGTATTCACTGCTGAAGCTATCAGGAAAACTTCATTCTACTGGGTCTTTCTAATCAGATAAGTATTTTTAGAATAAATATCAGTAAGACGAAAAAATATCAACCAAATCCAATTTAACAAACTAGGTAGAAATAAACCATCTTATCCATTATAAGATCTAGCCAAGTGTTCTGAAGACATTCAAGGACAAAATTTTAGAACTTTTCTTGGTCAAACCATGAATCTTGTCATTTCAAGTGACTACCAAGTAGAAGTATGACGGACTGCAAAAATGAACCCAGAGAAATCTTTCTTAAGTCTTAGGAATTATAAACTCAGTAAATCTTATTGCAGACATGACTTTTCATCCCTACCAAACCTCTATAAAATTAAAAAAAAATAAACTTTATATAAAGGGAAATACATAAATATTGCAGGTTATACCTAAATATAATATATTCCTTTAAGAATTAAATCAGGTGGGCCGGGCGCGGTGGCTCACGCCTGTAATCCCAGCACTTTGGGAGGCCGAGGCGGGTGGATCACGAGGTCAAAAGATCGAGACCATCCTGGTCAACATGGTGAAACCCCGTCTCTACTAAAAATACAAAACATTAGCTGGGCATGGTGTTGCGTGCCTGTAATCCCAGCTACTCAGGAGGCTGAGGCAGGAGAATTGCCTGAACCCAGGAGGCGGAGGCTGCGGTGAGCCGAGATCGCACCATCGCACTCCAGCCTGGGTAACATGAGTGAAACTCCGTCTCAAAAAAAAAAAAAAAGAATTAAATCAGGTAATGGCAAAATAGAAGTAGTGTTACAATCCATCCAATTTTGTGAAAAGTATCTCGGAAGTTCTTAAAAAAAAAGTGGCGGGGAGATGTTATTATAAATTAATATAAGATAAAGATTTAAACTAATAACATAAATAGGGGCTCCTGGAGACAGATTAGAGACCTTTTATATAAAAGCAATAGGATGAGGGATCCCTCTGCATCTTAGATATGCTGTAGGAGCCACAAAAATGTACATATGCTAATATATCCAAAATTTCCTGTGAAATTTTAGAGGTTTCATTAGATTGTTAAAGGTTCAAGGATCGTCTCTTAAGCCTTTCTGCTTTCAAAGTAGGGACCAATCTTATTTAACATGTCTATAACTGCTCTTGAAAAAAAGAGTGCAGGCCGAGTGTCGTGGCTCATGCCCTGTAATCCAGTACTCTGAAAGGCTGAGGTGGGAAGATGGCCTGAGATCAGTAATTCAAGAACAGCCTGGGCAACACCGTGAGACCCCATTTCTAAAAAAAAGAAAAAAAAATTAGTTGGGCATGGTGGCATGCATCTGCAGTCTCAGCTACTCAGGAAGCCGAGATGAAAGGATCCCTTGCACCCAGAAGTTCCAGGTTACAATGAGCTATGATCATGCCACTGCACTATACACCTGGACGACAGAGTGAGACTCTATTTCTAAAAAAAATAAAAAATGTTCCCCCAATACAAAACAGTAAAACAGTTGGGCAAACACCAGGAAGGATGACTGTGGTGAAAAATGTCTAGTCAATGAGAATTCAAATGATCAAGGGAAGACCAGGTGGCTTAAAGTTTAAGAAAAAAATTTATCAGTGGGGGCTCATATTGAGTTCTGGAGTAAATTAAGATATTCTGAGCAGTCTTAAACTTTAGACTTCATATCAAGGATAATGTGCTTTTCTACACCATCTCTTTGAACCATGTCAAGAGACCTATTGAGCTGAACAAGTCTGACAAACGATGACTTTGAAAACTGCCAACCTCAGGCTCAAGTTTCAATTAAGATGAAAGTATACTTAAAAAAGAAAAGAAAAAGAAATGCATGGATTAGTTGCACAGCCAATAATCCTGAGCCAATTCTGTCTTCTATTTCATCAAATGAACACGCCAATAAATGACTGCTATAATAGTAATTCAATATAGTCTTAACCTTACTACTAACCATGAGTAAAAATTAGTAATAAGATTAACAATATTTACTACGACTTTAATGATAAGCTTCTATAAATGCATAAATGTAGTTATTTCTTAATTAAGAGTCCCAAAATATCTTTTCCAAAATTTGACTCTATTTTCCCACTTATGGTTGAACTGAGTAGAGTTCTTCATTGCTTTCAGTTACTGTTGCTGGCCCCAATTTAAGCCCACTTTACAGTTTTCTCATTAGTTAAGTATCAATTGTAGTATGTTACCTCGGCAAACTGAAACAATGGTGACTTCTGACGCAATTCAGGAGATTCTGAAACATCAGGCCTGCATGTGCCGGAGGATACCTGAAACAAAGAAAGATGTCACATTTTCTTTTGTACTATTTACTATGTTAGGTAAACATTTAAGGCTCTATCTTCATTATCAACAACAGTTACAGAAACATCACCTTTCAATCAAGTCTTTTTCTCAAGATATACGTTTCTTCTTTTATCTCAATGCTAATATTGACCCACTTTTGCAGTTAGGTGACAATTACTTTGGTAGTCAACTGTTAGTCAAAAGTCACAGGAGGCTTGGAATGTTAGAGAGGGAAGAATTTCATTATTCCTCTGATCTAACCCCCTCTCTTTTCAAAGATGAAATAATTTTAACACTTCTCCCAATGCTAAAAAAATCCCCTGATTACCACAAGACATATATATTTATTTATTGTACATCTTCTTCCAGGGGCTTTATTTAATATGTTATCCCCAACACTGCCTGGGCACAATGTAGATATTCGACAAGTATTCGTGGAGTGAACTAATAAAAGCTGAATATAGTTCTTTCAATCCCAATTCAGTGTGATTGTTCCCCACTTTCCTGAATAATGAAATTAGACAGTCTAGGGAAAATAAATCTTTCACTTTAAAGAAAAAATGAAAGGTGCAAATACTTTTTAATAACTTGCTTTCTGACTACAAAATAATCCAAGTTCACTGTTAAAAATCTGAAGAAAAAAAAAAACAACACCAAAACAAAGAAGAAAAATCACCTACAATGTTACCACTCAAAGATAAGTACTGTTAATACTCTTATATATTCTTCCAGTTGTGTATGTAGGTAATGTTTAACAAAAATAGAATATTCTAACACAGTTACAGAATGTTCTGTTTTAAAAAAACTTTAATATTCATTTTTCTGCATCACTAAGTCTTTTCCAGTATAATTTTAATAGCTGCATGTGATTATACTTGATGGGTAAATCCTATGGAAAGAGCTGCCAGTCACCCAGATTACGTTCCTAAAAACAGTTTCGCACTGAACCTCTTAAGACATTGAGGATATGCTTCTCTAACAATGTCCCAGGCCACTGGGCAGGAGCAAACATTTGAAATTTTAATTGTCACCTTTGGATTTTAAAGAGTAATGGTCACCTTCTCCCAGAGACAAGCACATTGGTGAAAGTACAGAAGGTTTAACTAATTTGCCACCTGTGGTTTGGCTGCAAAGCCTGACTCTCCTATTGTCACTGGCTATTTGGTATTCTGTGCCTAATGTCCCACCAAGGAGACACAAAATGCACTAAAAAGGTGGCTAACACATCCTGAAATTTGCAGCCACAAGATTGGGAATTCTTTTATCAGAAGGAATACCTGAACAAGTGTATCTTTATAATTTAGAAATATTTTTAAAAAATCAACTTCTCTGCTTTATTAAAAAAATCTGTTTGGCTCCTGATTATTTGGTAAATAATCAAAATTTTACTTACATTCAAGCATACGACTTTTTGAAAATTATAAAATATCTTTATAAAACTTTAATAAAATAGTTGTGCATAAGACAGAAATCTATAAAAGATATTCAGAATTAAATGTGTTATTTAGAGTAGCTAAACTTCAAAAAGTCTATATAACATATATGCTTATTTCAGATCCCACAATGTGCAAGAAATAGTACCATTTATGAGGAGGTAAATTCCCCAAGGCTTAGCGTTCATATTAACATCATGAAGAAATTCAAGTTTCTTTTAAGTGTTATGTATAGATTATTTGGCCACAACAACACATCAAGTCATAAAATATAAAGGTTAAATAACACCCTTTGCAAAGTTTTAGGAATGGATGGTCTTAAATAAAACTTCCTATTTGAACACATAATTATGAAGGCATCTATAATCCTGCGCATGGTTTGCCAATTTTAGCATGCAATCACATAAGTCTACACGTTTGTGCTTATCATTCACCTGACGAAGGTGGGTGCACAACGAACATCTGTTGACTAACTGAATTCTCTCCATATTTATGTGAATAGGAAGAATCTCAGTGATCTGGCCAGGAGTACAATAAGCGATGACCAGTTGCTAAAATAGCAGTAATAGAAGAACTAATGCTGTGCATTTTACTCTAGCGGACCATGTCCTCTCTCAAAACCTAGTTACTCTTACTCTTCAGTGTAGTACAGTGGAAATGGTACAAACTTAGGAATCAGGAGAATTGGGTTAGTACTAAGCTTTACAGTTAGCTAACCCTCTAATACACAAAAGAATAGAGGCAATATATCAAAAGAGGTCAAGAGGATAGACATAAAAAAAAGAAAAAGAAAAAAGGAGGATTGGGAAAGAAAGAAACAATGGCAGCAGCAGCAGAAGACAGAAAAGCTGCAAAGAACAGATTCAAATGTTTCCTAAAGCACTGGAGTCTGTCTAAAACAAACTGAATAGGGAAAATAGCCCCCAAACTTCTCTAGAAGGCTTCCGTTGAAAGCAGTAATTATTTATAACTATAATTCTAAGTTGTCAAGGTAAAAAAAATTGTAAAATATATCGTTTATTAAGAAGGCAGAAATCTGTGTGATACTGGTTAGACATATTTCTTCTGGGAATCTAAAATTTCAAAATACAAAAATTGTTCAATGACATGGCAAATATAAATATGAAGAATTCGTTATTGAGTACTTGCTAAATAAGGCATCCTATAAAATGTATATATCTGCGCATACACTGATCTACACATGCATTTGATTAAAAAATAAGACATTCTATCCATATAAAAGAGAAAGAATAGTTCCTACAAAAGGCTCCCATTTGAGTAATGTTATTATTCAAAAGGTTCCAGACATTGTAAAATGTTTAAAATATTGTGCTATATCATCTTGCTGTCTGCATTTAAAGTCTTTTAAATTACTTATTTTTATTGGGTGGGATACACTTTTTATGGATAATCAGTTATGTAATATCTATTCCTATGCTAGAGCCAGTTTTCTCATTAATTAAGAGGAAAGAAAAAATATTATATAAGTAGTAGTTAAATAAGGGAGAAAAAGGCCCAAAAAGCTGTTTCAAGGAATAGTCTCTGAAATAATCGATAAAGCCACTAGGTGCTGCTATACGCCCAAAAATGAAAACAGCTAAAGGGATTTTGTTAAGTACATATTCATTTGATTTCCCTCAAATTCACTCCTCTCTGTGATTTAGCTATAATCCTCAAAAACCATGGAAGGGGAGTGATTAGTATAACTAAGAATTACAATGATGTGGTATTTTTTTCACAGGAGCAATTCAGATAGTGAAATTGAATACATAAAAAAAGTGAACTAGCTTCCTGAAATAAAATAAGACCAAGCCAGTTACATGCACTATGAGTGATGTGGAAAGCTGGGTTGTTATCACAAGCCTGTCCTTACTTGGCAAAGCACAAGACCACAACCATGCACTGCTGGCATTGTATTGAACACGATCAACAAAAAGGGTACTGCACTGGTAGTATCTGAGCCACACGTTCCTACTCTTGCTCATTCAAACATTTATTGATTACTCTCTTATTCAACAAATACTTAATAGGCACCTATGACATGCCAGCCACAAAGACTGCTACTTTCAAGAAGCTCATATCCTACTTGTATCGAGTATGTGTTAGGGAATAAAATGATGACCAAAGGAAATGTGCCCAACCCTTAGTTGCTTGCAAATCATGTGCAGGGGACAGCAACACATACAAAAATGTAAGTGCATAATGGTGAAATATTACAAGGTCTACAGGAGGAGGGAGATGCAGCCTTCATTCTGTGTAGGGACAGGTGGAAGGAAGATAGGTAACTTCTAAGATATACCTTAGGAAAACCAGGAGTTCTCTCACAAGTGTAGAAGTGATGCAGTAACAGGAGGTAGGAAATTATGAAGGCAAGAACCCGGTGTGTTTGAGAAAGTGACTTTCTCAGTGTGGCTGAAGAATAAGATGCACGGGAGTGTAGTGGGAAAATCTCAATTCTACTTGAAGAAGTTGGAAAACTGGGCTGGAGGCAGTGGGGAGCCTGCCAAGGTTTTCAGTCCCAGAGGTGTGTAGCCAGGTAATTCTGTGAGTGGAGTGCAGGGTGACGCTGGCTGGGGATGACTGGAGGCAGGAGCCTGCTGAGATGTGGGACCCCAACTGAATCAAAGATGGTAACTGCCAGGCTTCAGTAATTGCCTGGAAAAATGTCAGGGTGAGGGAAAGGGGTCAGAAACACAATGCCTGTGTTTGCAGGGTAAGCTAACGCCTTTCACTGGAAGAGGAAATCTGAGAGACAGAATGAGGTTTGGACGGAGGCAGGGGTGTCTTTTATGAGAAGAGATGGTTTGGGGGTAGATTATTCCACCTGAGAGTTAAAGGAGAAGCTGGTTACTAAAGCCCTGGACTCAGCTACCTAACATGAGCAGTGCGCTACATCTGCGAAGAGTCCTGGGCTGCCATGGGGGGCATAACTGAACAGCACCACAGAGTCAAGTGCTCCACAAGCAGAATACGTGTTGAGTCATCTGGCTAAATAGAAGAAGATGTCCTTGGTTTTACTCAGGGTTTCGGGGCTGCTGGAGTATTGATTTTACTCCATGAGTCAAAGTCTCCTAACACTATAATCTGTGTGGCTGACCGCTAGTATGGAAGTCCAGAACAGACTCCAGGCCAGTTGTAAAAATAACTGCAGTAGCAATTGAGATAACTCAGATCACCTTTCTGCCTCAGTTTCCTTATTGATAAAGTAGGTAACAATGCCACTCTGCCTACTTGCCTTCTTCACAGGAAACTGTGAGAATAAAATGCAACAGTGTACATCAATGTGCTCTTCAACAACAACCTAATAGACAGTAACAACACCTCTCTTGGGAAGGATGCCTCCTTTATCTTCCTGTTCTCCACCCTTCCCTTTCGAGCCCAGCTCTTTCTGCCCACCTTCCACGCTGCCTTTGCCTTCATCTCTGAGAGACCAAGGAGCATACCCAAGTTCATCAATGTGCAGCCTACGGACTCATGAAGGATGTGTGATTGTCAATCAAGCTGGGTAAAAGGACCCAATTCTCTGGGCTTGAGCCCCACTGTGGACAGAC